CCGCCGCATCAGCAGCCTTCTCCCCAGCACTCACCTCTTCCTCCTTCCGCAGGCTGTCGGGCTGCGCCAGCCGGAACAGGCAGTCGTAAACGGGATTCACCAGAGCCATCATGGGCATGTTGTTCACCTGTAAGGAGGCAGCAGCCATCGTCAGCGTGGGGCTAGAAAGGGAGGAGTCCACAGCTATTTTCAGTAGTTGTTCCCTTGCTGCTCTTCAAAGGAGAAGGGAGCAGAATTTTGTTGTGCTGCCAAATGCCGTGTTGCTGGGATTTATGTAGGAGACCAGAAGTTCTGAGTCTCCAGGAGCCGGAGAAGCTGAACAAATTATGTAAAAACCATCTATTTTTAAATGTAAGCAGGTAGTCATGGGAAATACACTTGTTGCAACAGCATTCTTCTTGCCTGCAGCTCTGCTTGCATCATTTTTACATCTACTCCAAGCAGGCATCCAAGCACACACACTGCAGCGAAGGCTTGCAGACAAACTCCATCAGTACGTGGGCTAGAAATTTTGTGAGCACCCACAGGTCCCCTCCGGGACCTCATAGCAACTGAACTGGTTCAATCTGGGACATCTGGGAGCAGGCAAATCAGGCGATTTCAAACACCGGGTACAAAACGAGGAAGCTCCGACTTTGTGACTGTTCCGAGACACCTCGGCCTCTCCAAGCCTGTTTGCTTGCCCTAGGTACCAGCCCTGGCAGCACCCTCACCCCGAACTGGTTCAATCTGGGACATCTGGGAGCAGGCAAATCAGGCGATTTCAAACACCGGGTACAAAACGAGGAAGCTCCGACTTTGTGACTGTTCCGAGACACCTCGGCCTCTCCAAGCCTGTTTGCTTGCCCTAGGTACCAGCCCTGGCAGCATCCTCACGCCGAGCCACGGCCCTGGGGCTCCATCCAACACCTCCCCGACCCCCTGCCCTGGTGTCTACGGACCCCCAGGCCCTTCTGGCACCCCTAGGCAGCAGCAGCCGGGTGCTCCAGCTCCGGCTCCTTACCCTCAGGTAGTCGAAGATGTTGCAGATGAAGGTGGCTCGCTGCCTACGAGCCCAAAAAACCAGGACGGAGGGATGAAATGGGGGTGTGAGAGGGGCAGGGGGATGCTGGCACTTGGGTGACGCAGGACCACGAGATACCCTCCTGTGGTTGCCCAGAGAGGCAGGAAAGTTGCAACTGTCTGTGCTCGCCGGCTGCTCGTCCAGATGCAGCCACGGCACGGGGCAAGCGCCAGAAGAGAAAAGCCGGCTGAGGGGCCAGAGCGCAGGGGCTGCGCCAGCCGGAACAGGCAGTCGTAAACGGGATTCACCAGAGCCATCATGGGCATGTTGTTCACCTGTAAGGAGGCAGCAGCCATCGTCAGCGTGGGGCTAGAAAGGGAGGAGTCCACAGCTATTTTCAGTAGTTGTTCCCTTGCTGCTCTTCAAAGGAGAAGGGAGCAGAATTTTGTTGTGCTGCCAAATGCCGTGTTGCTGGGATTTATGTAGGAGACCAGAAGTTCTGAGTCTCCAGGAGCCGGAGAAGCTGAACAAATTATGTAAAAACCATCTATTTTTAAATGTAAGCAGGTAGTCATGGGAAATACACTTGTTGCAACAGCATTCTTCTTGCCTGCAGCTCTGCTTGCATCATTTTTACATCTACTCCAAGCAGGCATCCAAGCACACACACTGCAGCGAAGGCTTGCAGACAAACTCCATCAGTACGTGGGCTAGAAATTTTGTGAGCACCCACAGGTCCCCTCCGGGACCTCATAGCAACTGAACTGGTTCAATCTGGGACATCTGGGAGCAGGCAAATCAGGCGATTTCAAACACCGGGTACAAAACGAGGAAGCTCCGACTTTGTGACTGTTCCGAGACACCTCGGCCTCTCCAAGCCTGTTTGCTTGCCCTCGGTACCAGCCCTGGCAGCACCCTCAAGCCCAGACCAGGCCATTGGGCGC